ACCTCCGATGGGTTCAAAACCGTCACGCGCGGGAAAAAACGCGCCCGCGCCGTGGAACCGTCCGCGGCGCCGAAACAACCCAAGGCCGCGAACGCGTCGCGGCCTAAAGTCGTGGTCTCACCCGACTCCCCTCGCCGCGCAACCCCGTCGCCGCGACCCCAACCCGCGTCCGTCCGCAAAATTCCCGCGCCGCCGCCGGTAATTTTACAAGATAAGACCGCGTGGGATCGCGTATCCCGTGCCTGTAAGGCACAAAACGTCAACGTCATCCATGCGCGTAACATCGCGCACGGCATACAGATAAAAACGGCCTCACCGGACGACCACAGGGCGCTGACAGCCCACCTCCGGAAAAAAGAAAAAAAAAAAAAAAAAAAAAAGGCAAAAACAGTTCCCAGTGAATCTTCGACAAAGAACCATCAGCAAGATAGAAACAGTTCTCAGCAGATCATCAAGACAGAAACAGTTCTCAGAAGCTCTCCGACAAAGAAACATCAGCAAGACAGAAACAGTTACCAGCAGTTCTCCGATAGTACAGTTACCACCAGTGAATCAGCTACCAGTGAACCAGACAATTACCTATGAAACCTCGCTACAGAAGCCGATACCCATCGAAAGAAACAGCCGTCTTCTACCAGCGCACAAACAGACAGCAAAAACCATTATTACACGACTCGGAAACAGCCATACAGACCGGGTCGTGTACACGTAACATCGTTATGTCAATTTTATTTCCAACATTTATATTTTCTTATTTTAAAATAAAACTAGTGTGCCAGGGTGAATTTAGAAAAAAGTACCGATCTTCCCACTTACATTCCACCTAAGGGAAAGTATTTGTATTCATGGACATTGGCAATGCCGAGGGTAAAGTTATGGTGCTGCCTACAAAGTTCTTGACAATAATTAGACAAAATACCTCACTATCATAGTGGAAACAGAACTTTAAGGAGACTATTTAAAATACTATAGTAATGAAGGCACGATGAGCTTCGAATAGCGTAGTCTCTGTTTTGACAGCTTAGAAAAAGCTCTCATTTACATAGCTTTGGAGTTCCTGTAGTTTCAAGCTTTGCAAGAGTTTCCGACATAGTTCATTATTTTATTTAAATCAGTTTTAAGAGTGAAAGCGTTTGTCGTAAAAATGAATTATTTCATATTATTCTGTATTAAAAAGAATAAAAATTAGCTTAGAGCTAACTAATGAATTTAACAAATCGGTTTGTCAAATCGTAGCTAGAACTAGTCTATAATGGGAAATTCTATTTTTTTTTTAATATTGCTTAAATGGGTGGACGAGCTCACAGCCCACCTGGTGTCAAGTAGTTACTGGAGCCCATAGACATCTACAATGTAAATGCGCCACACACCTTGAGATATAGTTCTAAGGTCTCAGTATAGTCACAACGGCTGCCCCACCCTTCAAACCAAAACGCATTACTGCTTCACGGCAGAAATAGGCTGGGCGGTAGTACCTACCCGTGCGGACTCACAAGAGGTCCTACCACCAGTAATTACGCAAATTATAATTTTGCGGGTTTGATTTTTATTGCACGATGTTATTCCTTCACCGTGGAAGTCAAACGTGAACATTTGTTAAGTACGTATTTCATTAGAAAAATTGGTACTCGCCTGCGGGATTTGAACGCCGGTGCATCGCTCGATACGAATGCCCGGACGTCTTATCCTTTAGGCCACGACGACATATATATTTAAAAGTAATTTTACGATTTGAACTCGAAATTTTTATATTAATTTTACTATTTCCACCATTTCGACTACTTTAATACGAATCGAATACGTAGTTTTCGTGGTCAGTAAAAAAAAAAACAAAACGAGATTGTACCGTAAAAGTTATATCAATTGCATCTGCGGACTCGCAAAACCGAAAAATAAAAAAGTCGTGTGGTACTCGGGGACCGCCGCGGTAAAGCTATTGCATAGAATTTTTTATCAACTTATCCAATTATAATTAGACAATAATAAATTAATATTAAAACAATAATAAAATAAGACCACGCTATATTTATAAACATTAACAAAAGCAAAACATTAACTGTCCCCTTCACATTCATAAACTAGACCGTGCGAGAGAGAGATGGGCAGACTTTTCATGATGCGCATGCAGTGTGACGTCACGCCACGCGCTTATTCACAAACATGCGAGCTACATAGTAGCCGGAGTGGGGGGGTGTTAGGTTTTATTTTCGTTACGGAATTTCTTAATTCGGTCACCGCGATCAAAGCCGGCGATAAAAGCTATGTAATAGCTTAAAACACAATGGCAATTTGTATTTTGGTACTGAAATTTCGATTCGTATTTATTTTGATTTGATTATTTTCATGTCGAATACTGTACAGTTTTCTTGGTCACGAACGATATAACATAACAATACTAATTAAACAACTAGGTAGCTTATGTTTCCTTAATTACTTCAAAAGGAATTTTCTTTCGAAGGTCAACTACACAAATAATGTACAAAAGATTATAATTATGTGTCAAATAACATAATTAATCTGAAAAAAATATTCTTTGTAGTAACCATATGGCACTGAGCAATTTGTTTAACACTGCTGCCGTATCGAATATAGTTTTAATATATTATGATATTTTATATTGTTTCAGATGCTCAGATGACTACAAAGAAGTTTTCCGAAGAGCCAGAATTCGAGCGGCCAATTGGGAATCACACGTTTTTCCTTGGACGAGAAGCAGTTTTGGGTTGCGCTGTCACTAATCTTGGAAAACATAAGGTATGTGTTACATCGTCTCAAACTTTTTCGTCTGTGTGTTGCATGTCGTGTGACGGTCGGCCGCGGAGTAGGGATAAAGTGAAAGGCGCTCGTCAGAGCAGCCAAGGCCAATATGGTGGCGCCTACAGTTCGCAGCAGCTGGCCGTGTAGTATAGACTATTACTCATTTGTGTCAGTGCTCCACGCTATTCTGTTTGTTTTTCTCAGTGTTTAATGTAAATGTTGTTTGTCAGAGTTAAATGTGTATAATGTGAAAAAAAGTTTCACTTTTACCGTGGTTTCATAAAACCACACAATCCTTTTTTTTACACTTAACGAGTTAACAATTTATTAGTTTGCACATTTATTTGATACTGTAGATAGTATAACGTAAAAATGACACACACCTTGAATTTGAAGTCTTAATTATTGCGTCAGAAATAAGCTAGATGTACCTATCCGTGAAATATAAGAAATATAATTTATCGTTTTATAGCATTATAATTATATTTAGATAAAAGTTATTAATGATTCAATTAGTATTAATATAATAATAATACGGGGTCGTCGTACTCCCTTACGGGGGCACGGAGCGGGCCTCGGGGTAAACCCCACTACCCGGGCAGACGCTCCCTGCCACATAGGGCAGGGGTGAAATAGATGCAGGACTGGATTGGGGGGAGGGCTGTTCGCAGTGTGCTTCGGCACACTCACATCGACAAAAATACATACATATATATAATACGATGGGCAGTCTGGTGACGGCTCGATGCCCGCGGCGGTGACACCCCGGCGCCGGCTGCTGTCCTCTGCTTCCTTACAGCAATAATATTTTTTNCTAAATAATTACTGTATCTAATAAGAGACCACTTAAGAAGGTCGGCCGGTATACCAGAATTTACTATCTACGTAAAATTAAATGCTAAAAAAATATTATGCTAAAAGTGGGTAGATATGAAAAAAATTTTTTTTAAAGCTACAGCAGCGCCAATTATTTACACAGTACTATATTACAAAAATTAATTTAATTTAATTTAATCTAAGTTGTAAAAATAATGAATGAAACTAATCTAAACTATTCTAAATTTTAACTAAGCTAAACTGGTATTACAGGGGTTCCAGCGCCATCAAACCTTAATAACTAGACCAATTTACCGGGTTTAGCGACCGCCCCGCCTAACCCCGAGGGGTAGGAGAGGACTGGGAGTGACACAGGGAGGCCAGACTCGATGGCGCTAACGTTCGCCGGTTTTATATCCAAATAAAACGGCGACGCAGCTTTCACAGGCTGGTCGACACCTACCCGTATTAAACTGGTGTTTAAAGAAAGAAGTGTCGATCCACTTACCTGGTCCCGGGTCCCGCGTTTTACTGCTCGGAATGTCTCCACCCCGAAACAGCACCGCTAGATTCAACACACGCACTTTGGGCACACACTGACTGCACAGCACAACACAGCAAGGGGCCACTTAGCCTGGTGTCCCGGGCATAGTATTAATATATTTTTACTATTTTCCTACCTCTAGTCTGCAAGCTCCATTCCTAACAATCTGTTTTCTATCTTAACAACTCGCAATAAGGACGTAAACCGTACGGCGTAACTCACGCAAGCCGATTTGTTATTTATAAGGGCTCCAAAAGTTATTTAACAGTCGATATTCAACGAGTTCTTTATCAGAAACGTGTTTTCTAAAGCGAATTCAAATTACTGTTATCACGATACGATTAGATATCAAAAATAAAACAAATTATTATGCACACGCTTAAAGACTACAATTATGTTTAAATGTTTTAGCGCCTTTTAATCTATATTATTGGTTCCTTAAATAGGGCTAGCACTTATCGAAATAGCAGTAGCCTGACGATCGGGCAAGTATCAAAACATATTGTTAAGCCGGTAAGAGTAACGCCATCTATCGCTGAATAGCCGAAACGAATATCAAATGATCTAGTAACATCTAAGACAATGCCATCTATTGTCAGATAGCGGAAACACACACATCGAAAATACTCGACTTGTGAGGAATGTTCTCGACGATTCTAGGGATGTCGTATCGACTATAAAAGCTTTGCAGAGATGGCGTGCAGTTAGCTAGTAATCGAAACTACTCGAAGCGAAACAGCGAACGGATTACCTGAAGCAAAGCGGAAGAAGTGAATTGAGAATTAAAAGTGTTTGTTGGGTGTTTTAAGCGTTCTAAGTGTTAAATACTGTTTTTAGTTGTACTTTGGTGGAACATTTATTTATCCCGTACCCTAGCGCGTAACAATATTTTAGGTATCATGCATACAGCTTACCGACATAACGAAAATAAAATAGTCATTGCTTAGTTTCAAACCTGCAACTTCGGTTATAAGTTATACAGTTAATATTACTCAGATACAAGCATAAAGTCCCTCACCACCTTCTTTATTTTAAGGAACCAATAATATAGATTAAAAGGCGCTAAAACATTTAAAGATAATTATAGTCTTGAAACGTGTACATAATAATTTGTTTTATTTTTGATATCTAATCGTATCGTGATAACAGTCATTTGAGTTCACTTTATAAAACACGTTCCTGCCATTAAAGTAAATGGTAGAAAGAAATACAACAATTATTTTAAGTGTATGAGAATATTCGACCCGTTTTAATGATGCATGTATCGAAATGATTGTAATAATTTACCACGAAGGAAAAGTTTTTTTTGTTGTATAGACGCATGATAGAGCTCACGACCAATTTGTTTTTAGGAGCATACAGAAGTCCATAGATATCAAAGCCTCGAAACATGAAGCCTAAGTCAAATTTCACCCATCTTTGCAATAATTAAAATACTTCACACGGGCAAACTCCGCCATGACCTACCTGATTACAAATATTTAGTGCAGTATGAATATAATTAATGACAAAATAATGGAGTCTCTTTTTTATTGCTTAGATGGATGGATGAGCTCACAGCCCATCTGGTGTTAAGCGGTTACTGGAGTCCATAGACATCTACAACGTAAATGTGCCACCCACCTTGAGATATAAGTTCTAAGGTCTTAGTATAGTTACAACGGCTGCCCCACCCTTCAAACCGAAACGCATTACTGCATCACGGCAGAAATAGGCGGGGGGGTCTAATGTCCTTTTTAATCTACTAAAAATGTGGTGTCGTGGGACACCAGTTAGGAACGAAGTTCCTTCGGCTAATGTAGAATCGACACAATTTGTAAAAAAAAAATCGTGCTCAATTTTATGTTGGTTTTCTTGATTTTTCTCTTAAATTTTGCTGATTAGTTTTTATTTAAGTACAGGAAAGTATTTAGGAAATTCAGTATTTTAGAAAATAATAAATTACGTAAAATAAAAATAAAATCGTAATTCAAATTATCAATTAAAATAACAAAATATGTCTCTTTATTTTTGTTTGACAACATAAAATAACATAGAAATAGAAATAATTACAAAATAGAGAGAGAAGGGATGAGAGAACGAAAAGAAAGAGGGAGAAAGAGAAAGGTATTATACACTACTCGCTTGTGTATACGACCATCGCGCCTGCGCACGTCTCATTTAACGGTTTTATTCCACGCACTTTTTTCCACGGATTTTTTCTTACGGTTTTACTATCACATTTTTTTCAGTTCGGTCGCGCAGCAAAATCCCTATCCCCTCCAACCGTAAGGAACTTCGTTCCAAAAAACTGTTGTTCCTCTTCAAACTCTAATTGAAACGATCTATGAGGTTGTAGCGTGCAACACTCGGTCGCACTCGGGCGTCATCGGACGCGATCGGAGTTCCCGAACGCGCACGTCATGCTACGAGATTCGCGCGCGTCGATTTTTAGTTTATTGTAAAACGTAATTGTAGTGTCTAGCGTTGTTTACCCTTTTTAGTTTATATTATAACATTGTACATGTAAGCTTGAGGGTAGATATTATCTTGTTGAACACCAAGTAAAACGATGTCACTTTTTGATTCCTGATTTAATCAACAATATGTTATCTTAACAATTCACTTTAACACTTGTCCAACTTTAACCAGTACGTACAACAGTCACTGAATCACACAACGTAACAAGGATATAGTAAGTGCACCAGGCAAGCGCAGTCCAACGAATGTTTCTCGCAAGGCACGCACCGCCTTTTTATACTAGCCGGCGCAGCTGGCTTATGAGTCACTTCTGTTGCACGAGTGGAACGACACGGCCGGCGCACCCGGCTTGTGTGAGTCACGCCTGTTGCACGTGATGTTTATTAGAAATATTGTTAACGCCGTCATACACATTATAGATATTGTTCAAATTGTGTGTTTGTCTTTTATATGTTCGGAGTAAAATATCCCGCGAATGCTAACGACAAATAACAAACCACAAGGTTTCAGTGGGAAAATAATTATGTAACTAATCTACAGGTAAAGGTTTGCAAGAACTGGTAAAACCGGCAAAGTAAATTGACCTTTATTCACGATTTACTTAAAGGATTAACAGTATAGGGTACTGAGATATGATCTTGGCAAACTCCTAAAATAAAATGCTGCGACGCGCAATCTTTGTATTATAATCAAACAAGCGAATATAAATTGTATTTTATTTAATAATCCTCTCGGCTATAAAGTCACTTGTGAATCAATTGTAAAACGCGATCGTTTTGCGAGCTTTCGAAAGTTTGAAAATATAATTAATTTAATTGGTTCTCGGGTGTTTCAGAAAAGCTTTTGACCGACAAAGTCGTCATGAAAACGAAAGTGTTTTAAGTTTAACTTAACTGTCATACTCGTCTGTTCAGATTAGCGTGCGAACAATTATTGAATATGCAAATTAAAGTTTGAAATTTTAATTTATAAAGTAAATTAACAGTTGAAGTTTGTACATTTGATGTCCTTATCCATCGTGTAGCAGTAATGCGTTTAGGTTTGAAGGGTGGGGCAGCCGTTGTAACTATACTGAGACCTTAGAACTTATATCTCAAGGTGGGTGGCGCCTTTACGTTGTAGATGTCTATGGGCTCCAGTAATCACTTAAAATCAGGTGGGCTGTGAGCTCGTTTCC